AAGTACGCGATCCAGACCCTCCGGACAGACAGCATAGGAACGTGCACTCGGGGCACGTGGTTTTGATCAGTAACCACTTGGCAAGAGAGTTTAGATTAGGACGCATCTCCTCCTCAGTTCCGCAGATATCGCGTTTGCAATGGAAGCAGACCAACCGAGGCAAGCAAACCTCAGCAAACAAGTGACAGCAAGGACTTCCCAGATGCTCTGCCAAAGTATTGTGGGCGCATGTGCCTTTCGACTTGAAGGACTTCTACTCTGATCCCATTGACTGGAAGGCACCAAAGGAGCGGCCTGGCACCGTGTAGTAAGGATTGCCCTTTAAGACACCTCGGAATCAGGAGCCAGGTGACGCTGTCGCAGCTGGAGGTGCCAAGATGTAAGCCTGATTGATCTTTTACTTGATTAGCTGCTTGCAGGTGAAGCCACGGCGCCAGCAGCCGAATCTGCGGGCATGCCCAAGTTTACCAGGTCGAGCAAAGCTCGTTGACCATTGTAGCGAGGTCTTGCAAGTTAATCATGATGACTTCAAAGCGAGATTGCTGGAAGAAATCCCACATTTGCATGGGATATCGCCTTTCCAGTTTGGACGACGTCATCGCCTGCCCTCTCAGAAAAGCGAACGCCAAAACCTGAGTCGTGGCTGGAGGCAATCACGGTTAGTGGCACCAGCTGCTGCAGCTCAGGTTGACACCGACTGCATCATTCCCAAACAGTTTTTGTCACCTGTCTTGCAGAGAGCTGTTTTCTCGGGGTATGCTTGGCTTCGCAACTTACACTGAAGGGCTCTCCAATGAGACAAACTTCATGAGGGACTGGAGCGCAAAGAACCAGTCATTTCGGATAGAAGCTCATCCACTGCAGACATCAGTTCGAATCCTGGGCTCCTCTCCAATTGCAGAATGAAACACAAAAACAACGGAAGGAAACAATGGGATCTGGGTGCAAGCACTAGGTGGCTTGGGAATGGGTCCTGAGAAGCTCATGGTGCTCTGGAGTTCTGGAAGGACTCAGAGAACTTTGGGGAAGTGAGAACTGTCGGGAAGCAGTGAGTCCGGATTGATCGTGTGATGCCGTCCGTTTGAGTTAGATGCCAAGGCAGGTAAAGCAAGAGAGCTTCTTAATTTTTGCCCGCAGGGTATGGCAACGGAGCGCGCACTTTGCAGAAACAAGCTTGTTTTGGACCACACTGTGAATGTACAGATTGGAAAGCAGTGGGGTAATCCCACAAAGCTCCAGTGACCCGGGTACTCACCACACCTGGACATAGCCTCGCTTGGTTCAGCGCCTTTTCACTGGAAACTACAAGTTTGATGAACAATTGCTAGCGGGCATCATGTCAGCATTTGGCACTGGATGTGATCTGTGCCAACTGTCTCCGCCTAGCAATCACAGAGCTTCATAAATTACAATCGTTTTTACACGTACGTTTTTTTACACGTACCCGATGCTGTATATACTTGTGGCTAAGAGGATCTCCGGTGTAGAGGAAAGCCCAAGGCCCAGTTGATTGACTGAATCCCAGTCGCGGTGTGCCCATTTTCGCAGGCAGGCTGGACAGGCAACAAGACCAGAACCCTCTACCAGCGCGAGCAGCAAAACTCTAGTTTCGCTGAGGCAGAAAGGCGCAAAAAAGCTATCAGCCAGCTGTGCGTTGTTTTTCAGTCTGGAAAGTCTATACTTGGCCGTTTGGCCTCTTGACATTCTTTCCTATTCGGCAGGAGCCCTTTCTAGTTCTCTCCCTGGCAAAGCAATCCACATACAGCCATCTGGTGACACATTCATACAGCTCCGGGCATGTTGAGACTTTGTGAGGGAATTCTCCGCAAAGTTTTCCAACACTCTTCGGTCTGACAGGTGTATGTGTGCGGGCCAGCGCAGCCATTCAAACGCAGTTCTTTGCAGTCGTGATTCGCCCCACCTTTGCATATACCTTCGCATGTCTATTCGTCTCAGGAAGACGATCAAAAGGACAGGGCCGTGCCCTGAGACCATTTGTAGAGTTCTGGCTCGCCCACAAGTTGCAGCTCAGGTTGGGGAAGGCGGCTTTTTTTGAGCTTCGGTATGAGGCCTGACAAGCGAAGAGCCTTACCAAGTCCTCGCCATAGTTTCTTGCTTGTCAACATGCACGAGGATGATGGAGTCACCGAAAACAAGTCTTTCATTCTCAACCAGGCGTGGTCCTTCGGCGTGCCATGCTGTGCCTGCATCACATCCTACCCCCCCGCCCCCCAAATGCTTTTATTTTGGCCCCGGGCGGCATGTGCCGGCCAGACCATCCCCCTTCCAAAGCCCCAAGAGGAGTCCCACTTGTGTGACGACGCTCTAGATCATGAGAAGCCTCTATGAGAGTGATGTTTGTTCTCACTGCTTTCAATGATTTTCTAGAGTTTTAAGGTCGTCTTGCATTTTTTTGTGCTTAACTTAACCCGAATGGGATCCCAATTGTGCTGAAAATGCTCGTGCTAGCCATGTACGCGTGCAGCATCAGCACAATTGAGACCTAATTTGGGTAGAACGCCCAAGAAAAATCTTCCAAAGCGCTTGCAACATGGATTTCTGCGCAAGCTTAGCAGATGTCAGCCCACATGTGCCACTTTTCATTTCAGAAGCAACATTTGGACATATCTGGTAGTTTAAAGTGGTGTACAATGGTAGTATAGGAGCCTCCGATGTGGTAGAAATACGTGCAAAAAGTTTACGAGGTTTTGGCCTGGGTGATGCACGCACGTCTGCTGGCATGCTGGTGATGCAAGCGCAGGTGCTGTCAACAGTAGGCTTTGTTGTGCTCTTTGCTGGTATTTACCGTAGCAAAAGCTGTCGACAGCACAGATCTTTAGCGTTTTGCTGGGCTTTTCAGCGCCTTTTAGGCACCTTCACCCCAGGAAGCCAGCATCCTGAGCATCATGGGGACTGACCCGTCCCAATTTACCTCTTCATACCGGGCATATTATATGAGGATCCAGCATCCCACCAAAAGCCTTAGGTATATTGAGGTGCCAAGAAAGGGAGAGACAACAGCCCAATTGTATCCAATTGTGCTGACATGATGGCCAGACCAGACTTTAAGAGCAGCCTGCTCAGTCCGTCAACCTCGGAAGCGGACATCCTGCCGTCGGAAGGGATCTTGAGGGCGGGTCGGAGACCCAGGTGGTGGGGGCAAGGCTCCTGGAAGGGGCAGGAAGACGCGAGGGAAAAAGAAGCGGGAGGTGGAATCATTGTGGGCTGAGTGGCTTCGGGCTCGGTGGATGACGTGCTGAAGAGGTAATGCAACGCGCGAGTTGAGTTATCCGCTCCCCGTCCGGCGCATTTTGAGGAACCTGTCGCGCAGAGCGAAACAAGGGAAAAGTGGCGTGCATGATTACGATGGGGCCGCGCCAGTGCGCAGCAACTTGTTCGGAGCACCTTGTGACTGCAGCATACGGTGGGCAAGACGATGGTGATGGCGCCCGGCTCGATGCCAGGCGAAGAGTGACGGCCCAGAACTTGGCGACCCCGTTTGTAGCCTTGCACCGGAGGGCTACGCGATACCGAAGGCACCACCCAGGATAGCACTTCGCCCCACCGATCTGCTGGAGGGGGCTTGCCAATGGCTTGAAAGTTATGACTCTTATGACTATGATTATGATTATCTTGAGTATGGAGTAAACGGACTTAGGTAGTGCCCTAGTTGTTAACTGTGTAGAAGTCATAACTTTTAGGAGGAGATGGTTTAAAATCGAGTACAACAAGTTATGTAGGAGATGCTTAGATAGCATGAGCAAATACAAAGGCAGGTATAGCTCATATAAACTTCAAGTTTGCATTTAAACACCGTATGAGAAGCTGATTAAGGTTTGAACACAGAATCTCCATATAGTGGTATGAGTGATGTAAATGACAAGCCAGATAGAAAAAAGTAGTCACATGATTTTGGAGAAGTTTGGGACAGGCCAAACCTCAAAAATCAAAGTTTGGGGAAACACCATCGATCGGTGCTGCGTCTTGGGAAGCGAGGTCAGGCGGGTGAGGAACTGCTCCCTAGCATGGGGTCCATGGATCTAAACTCCAAGCGCCCCAGTCCTCCCGCATCGGCCGTTTGATAAACTGATGACGCCGCGATAAAATTGCCAAAGCCAGAAGCCTCCAACTCTTATGAAGTGTAACACGATGTCGAGAACAGGGTGTGTTATTCTTGAACACCATATTTTTTTGAGAACATTAAATACAACATACTATATGTTTACTATATACTCTGTGCATACTTAAGATATTGAATGAACAAGATCTACGAACAAACCACGCAAGGTGAACTGTCAAACAGTCTGAAATTGATACCTGACTGACTTACCATAGTATATTGAAAATAGTTGTACAACTCCGGCTTATAAAGGATGGAAGAATGTTTGCTGAAACACTGGATGCGAGGACAACAACCAATATGACAATATGACGAGAAAATGAAAAATGACAACTCATGCGATGATATTTTTTGCGATGACTATTATTCTATGTAATGGACATCCCCCAGGGTTGGGTTCTCTTTCAGGGTCGATGACCCAAGGCCTTGTTTAGGAATGGATGAGGTTAGGGATCGTTGGGGTGCTTTTTGTTTTGGATCTTGTGTGTTGGGAATCGGTTGAGGTTGTCGGGAGATGATTCGGATTAGGATTTGGGGTTGTAATTGATATAGTTGTGTGGATGTTGCGAGGTGCTCCGTGTTTTGGAGAGCTGGGTGGGTTGTGTAATTAGGCGGGTCGAGAAATGGTGTAAGAGCGTGGTGGGGTGTAGGATGTGAGGTCTGGGATCAGGGCAGTTCTTCGGACTTTGCATCGTAATCTGGGATTTGTTCTGGGGATGTTGAATTGGTTTGGGATTGTATTTGGGATTTCAGCATGGGGTTTGTGAGGTGCTTTGGTGTTTGGTGTCTGGAAGGGTTAAGTTTCTTAGGCTGGTGGAGAAATGCGGTCAAAAAAGGGGGGGAGTCAGGATGTCAGCCCTTCCTTGCTGCTGTGCCTGGAGAATGATTGAATCGTCAAGGAGCCCTACAGAACATCGTCAGTGCTCATTGCTGGTGAGAATTTCGGCCTGCTCTCTCAGCATGCTATCTGTGCTACTGCAGAGTCAAGCCATTGCCAAGCTGCCTGCGCTCAGGATGCGGCTCGTCAAGAGAACATGCGTCGGAAGCTTGGTTTGCTGTGGTGCCTTCCGTTAAAATGAAGATGCTGGCCCAGCTGAAGATTAGATTTCGTGAGTTCCACAAGCCCCGAACAACCGCATAGTTCTCCAGGAATCCATCACATGGCATATCTTGTTGAAACCTGGCTTTTTGACAGCTTCTACATAGGGCTGGCGGATATCGTTTTGACTGCCCCGGAACAAGTCGCAACGGGCGTCTCCTTGCAAGAAGCATGTCCCGAGTTGCAATTGTGATGTCTTTGGGGTCTGACCGTGCATCTCGATGGCTGTCTGGCCAGGCCATGGGCGCTGAACGACCAGGGCATCCGCTGCATTATTGCGCCGAGCTTCGCCGACATCTTCTTCAACAAGTGCCTAAGCCCGCACGCAGCATACACTCTGTGATACTAGCAAAGAGTAGAAGTCATGGGTCCCAGCCTCGTATCCTCAGTTTTTTTCCAGGTGCTGGAGTGAGCAGATCCAACCGTTAAACGGTGGGACAACTTTTAGTTTTAGCTATGGGTCAGGCCGGTCGTCCCGGTGCCCCTATTGAACTAGCAACAGGTAACATTGCATGTGAAAAGGCTGATAGTGATCGTCGAGGGATATTCAGTTTGGCTGAAGAATTGGTGCTTCAGCTGCATGCCTGATTTTGCTGCTGCTGCTGCGGCCGGGCTTACGGCAGCGGCGGCGACGATTACAAGTCGGATGACAAACGCTTACTGCTACCCATTGCTGTTGCGAGTTCTACGAGCAGCCCGCTGCACCTAGCCCAGTGATATTCAGCGTTTGTTCTACGTGTGGCCCTTTTTCAGCACCTAAGCAGCTGTGAAGGGTTCTTGATAATCTCGAAGCTGTGACAGTTTATAGCTTATACAGCCTTGTGTGCAGTTGCTTCAAGAACGGAATGCTGCCAATCGTGGTGACCAAGGCAGTCCTGCACCGGTGTGCCACTGTAAGCGGACTTGATTCACTCGTGTTCACAGGATGTCGTCGAGGAGCTGTGGACACATGCAGAGGCGGGTCACACCGCTGCTTGCCAATTCAAGTCCTGCACTTCTGCGAGGCAAAGAAGAAACTTAGCGTGGACCTCCAGAGTCAGGAGATCAGAAGAGAAGGCTGCGAGGTGCCCTTCTGATTTTTTGCCTTGCTGCTTTAGATGAAAGCCTTTCTGGCTGCTCTTGCAGGCCGTCCGTTTTGAAGTTGACCCATTCCGAAAGTGCAGAGCTCGGCTACGAAATTCGCTGCAGCGTCTTCCTACAGCTCAGCCCTGCATTTTCTTGGTATGCCCCGTTTAGGCACTGCCTTTTGAATGGCCTGGACGACATTGGTGGCTACCCAGGCTTCTTCAAAGCTTTTCTGTGATCTCATGCGCCTCAAGGCTTGACGCTGCAGAAAAGCGACCACATAGACAGTTTTGAGGCTCCTCAAGTGGACAGCTCATTAAAGCCTTTCCTGTGATGATCGTGACGAGCATGTGCAGGCTAGGCGGAGCTCCATGTTTCCTTGGCTGGCTGGAAGCTGAAAGCTTCACTGTGCTCACTAACCAAAGCATTTTGAAGAAAAGGATTTTTGAGATGTCCTTTGCCTGGCTCAGGATGGTCCTAGATACAGCCGATTGAAGGCGGAGGTTCGCATTAGCACGACCAAGGCGCTCCGCAACAACTGTGCGCGTGTTGACTTTCTGCTCTCAAGCCACCCTTCATCTCACAGTCCGCCGCGTTCTACGCACGAGTCTCCAAGGGATTCCTGGTCGATGGCTTAGGCAAAACAAGCGTGCCAGCTGCAGTCCTGCTTTTCCGATCATGCCGGCTGCACGACTGGCATTCGAAATTTGGCTTCCTTTTGCTGGATTCACAGGCCTTCCCTGTGGTTGCCTTGGCTCTCGAATCAGCAGCTCTGAGGCTGGACTACCGGCAAGTGATGATCGGCCTGAGCGCCCGCCAGCTGCGCAGGTCCTAAACTTTGGGGTCTCCTTGCAAGATTTTCTGCACTGCTTTTGTGTTTTGACACAGCTCATTCTGACTGCCACCGGCAACGCCATCGAGAGAGCAGTTCGTGTCTCGCAGGACCTCCAGGCCGGCTTCGCAGTCTTTGCAGTTTTCCCGTGAGTTCCTTTCTTTTGTCTTTCCGTGTGAAAGCCCAGGGTGAAGGCGAAGCAGACGTGTTGAAGGTTCGTACGCAGATGGCAAGACACCTACGGGTGTCAAACACGGCGCATGTGTCAGTGTATTTGTGCCCGCATGCTGCGTGACTGGTGTTCATGTGTGTCCTTCAGCAGCGGTAGAAGGCAGTGGGGAGGACTATCAGCGGAAGCAATTACATTTGGGGAGGCGCTTGTGCGAAGTCTTGTGTCCACTGTGGAGATCATTTTGGTAGCCCCGGAACCGCCTCCTCGCAATCTGTGGACCCCCTGGATTTGTTGCGACATGTTCTCAAGTTCAAAGGAACAGTCTTCACCCCAGCCAACCCTTCGTGTACAAGTTATCTCCCGTGGACCACCCCTCGTGTTAGGCGCGTTTGGCGTGTATGAATGGCAGCGAGAGTACGCGACTAACTTGTGAACGGGGTATGCCATGTGGGTAGTCAGGTGGCGCCACGCATATGTTCCCAAAGCACATCCTGGGAGAAGCTCCAGGTTAAGACTCAGTTGTGAATGAGGACAAAGAAGTCGCATGAAAGGACAAAGTATGGTCACGCATGTGATGCATAACGACAGAGAAGACATAACGACAGAGAAGAGCAGTGTTGAGTGACTATTTGTCTGCCGGCGTCAAGAGATGGCATCAAGTCAGGTCACAGGGTCCAACCAGCGAGCACAAGTTCCGCAGGCCAGCTCTTCGTGCTTTGCATCAGACACATGTAAGCACAAATCATTGAAAGCATGCTCATGATGTTGATTTCATGAACCATGCCCCGCGACTGCCCGAACCTTTGTTTGTCGTTGCTTGAAATTGAGCAAGTTCATTGAGCTCCCAAGCTGGCTCGTGCAGGAGCCATTTGCATGCTCTCAGGGCGGCACAAGCTGACAAGCGTTTGTGTAACAATTCATAGCTCTTTGACAGGGAAAGAAAATGGAGAACACGAGACCAGAAAGTTCCCAGCTTCAAAAGAAATTCACCAAATTTGTTGGCTGCGAAAGCTCGTGTGGAACAGCAAGCCGCCCGTGCTCCTCTGAAACAGCGAATCTGGAACGTCCACCACCCTGCCAGCAGCAAGCAGCGTTTCCATCGTAAACTGCATTTTCTACTTTCCTTGAGGGCCAACGGTGGGTTGGCTTTAGTTTGGCGGTTGTACAGCGGCCAGGTCTGCATCACGCTGAAAGCCAAAGCGCTTGTTTCTCAGTGCCTTCAGCTAGCAACGTCGTCTTTTCGGTTGGATGTGGCTGAGGAAAGCACGGGCCGTGATCGTCGGCAGTGGTGGCGCAGCAGGTGCGGCAAGTCTTGAGATGCGGGATTGAAGCTGCAGATCTGAGCACGACCCTGCATGAAGCTTCAGGATGCAACGGATCAAAGGCTACTGACTGGTAGTGAGATTTCTTTCCGCCTTCAACTGCAAGGCACAAGCATTGCAGGCTTGATCGCTGTATATCATTGTAGGATTTTGATACTGTGCAGTTTTTCATCCAGAGCAGACTTCACAGCGGCGTGCTGGCAAGTCGCTCGTGTGACTCTTGTGAGCATTGACGGCCAAAGCATAAAGTCCGTCCAGCAAGAAATGCTTGAATCAGGACCTGCAGGAAGTCTGGATGGTTTGGCTGGAATGATACGCTTTACATCCTGCAGTTCCTTGGTAGATCTGTTTCGGCGGTTTCGGGGTACCGGACACAGTGCTTTTCCACTTCTTGCGGTCAGCTATGAAGCTGACCAATGTCTCAGACAAGCAAGAAAATACGGGCCGCAGATAGCAGTGGAAGCCCGTAGATAGCAGTGGAAGCCGTTCACTTCCTGCCCTGGACAAAACGTGAAGCTTCCTGCAATGTCCTGGATCCGCAGGAGTTTGAGGATGGTAGGGCTCCAAGATTTCTAAGAGTGGGGGTGAGCAAGTCAGAAGAGCAAACCTGATATTTGCAGCTACCACGTGCCCTTCAAAGCGCCTTCATTGTTCGCAGGGCTGTCCCAGTCATGTGTACCTCTATAGCTGTTACAAACGACATCTGGTCAGCCAGTCGCTCCTTTTACGCTCTGCAGCCATCTCACCGGAGGCAAGGAAAGCTGGGGCCGCATGTCTGTTGATTCGCACTTAGGGCCTGGGGGCCTTGCAGGTGAACTGCAGGAAGCATGGACCGCGATGAGATACATCACAAGATGAGCAAAAAGGCACGACGCCCAGAGGTACTGTAGAAGAAGGTTGCAGCGAAGAGGCCAGAGATCTTGCGATCTGCAATGGGTTCTCAAGCGCCCGCAAGCAAGGTTGCTCAGCTCACGAAGGTCATCTTCCACTTGAATACTAGAAATGATGAGGAAGCGCTTGCGATGTTTGTCCAGCTCAAATGTCGCACGCTCCTGAATGTCTGTCTATAGGCGGATCAGCATCTTGCAGCAGTTTCTCAGGCAAAACTTTGCTGCAAAGCACTATCAGTAGGGAGCTTGGCAGTCGGAGTGCTGCTGGGCGAGGCATACGAGACGGAAGTGGAGCAGATTCTGAGGGATGCCAACTCAAAGGTTCGCCGGTTGGCGGAGGCCAGATTTTCCTTTCAACGTTTGGGCTCTTGGACAAGCTTCTTGAGCAGGCAATCGAGTCCGAAGCTTGGACCACTAATTTGTTGGCGGCTTTGTGAGATTCACACGTGCTACAAGCTTGGAAACAGTTTTGGAAGCTCCAGACTGTAACTGACTGCGTGTGCTTAGACAACGTTCTGCTGAGTTCCCAGGTTAGGTATGTCTGGACGCAAATCTATTATGCATGTACCGTAGCGCTGACACGACCCCTCAACCGGCACTACAATATGCGACAAGTTTTAAATCCAACGTCTGAAGCCTCTTGCGGAAAGCTGGCAGCAAAGACCGTTGGATGGAAGCAAACGACCAACACAGCACAACTTTCGGGAGACTCGGTCTCATTTTTCCCTTGCTTCTATCTTACGGCTTGCCCTAAGAGACGTCAGTTTACGGAGCTCATGCAAGCAGGAGCCTTGTAGGAGCTAGCAAGACGCTTCAGCCAAGGGAACTGAGGTCGGGACATGGGAGCAAAGCTGCCAAAGAACTGGAGGCTTTGAAGTCCACACACGAGGAAGAGAAGCGCCTGTACCCCAGAGAGCCTTGTGGACCAGAGTGGGCTACAAATTGCAACGAAGCAGTCTTACAACTGCACTGCGGTCTAGAATGAAAGCGCTCGGCGCATTGCCGCCTCTTAAGCTTGTCTTTCCATCTACACAATGTCCAGACTATGTCACTCCTGTGAGGCGAAGCTCTCAAAGAGATCCAGAACCTCAAATCTGCTGCATCCGCTATTGTCTGAGACTCTCGTGCTCGCACTGCTCGCACTGCTGGCACTGCTGGCACTGCTGGCAGGCTGCTTGTTACAGTTGGGGCTTGGAAAAGCATTTACCAGGCGCGGGAAAGCAAGAACACAGCAATGTGGAAAGAGCGCCTCAACAACATGAGCGCAGAGGCGAAGATCACGGCTTCCTGTTGTCACATTGTCACTGGCAAAGCTCTGCAGTGCTCTGCAGGTTCAGGCAGTCAAACAACAATGCCAAGTCCAAGCTTCACAGTTCAAGGCAGCCCTGGAAAGAGTTCAGGCACGACGTTAATGACATTAGCTGGAGATTGAGCATCCCCATCCCGTTGCTGGCAGGATGGGCAAGGAGCCGAAATTGCTGATCTGCGTTCTCGCCACGAAGCTGAACTGGTGCGAGCACAAACTGAGCACGAGGCACGCAGAGAGCCGGGTGTCCGGGTGGCATGGGTGGCATTTTTGGCCCCTGCAGGCCGAAATGAGCAGGTTGACGGAAGCCTCCACAGCCTCCACAGCCCTGGAGGTACATTTGTTCCCTCACCTGCTGGTGTAACTACCTAAACGGGTGTGCTCTTGCAGGCAGAATTGCGGAGGGTCATTGACCAGCAGAAGGTGCTTGTAGCGGCAGCCTGTTTCAACGAAGCACATCTGACAAAGACAGGCAGACTACACCAGGGAGATCGATGCAGAGCGTGCACGGTGCCAGGCCATCAGAGCCGGTCTTGTCTGCCCCGCTTGAGAACGAAGTTTGAGGAGCTGCAGCTTCAACTCGACAGTACGAAGAGAAGCCTGGAGGCATCTGCTGACATGCCACCACTGTAAGATAGTGATGAGGCAATAGTGTATAGTGTACCTAACCGGTCAAAGAACGAAACACACCTGTACAACTTGTGACCATCTGATCTTTGATGCGTGTTTCGGCTTCTACTTTTATGAAGGGTGGGGAGCCAGAAAAAAGAGGCCTATCTGCCTTTCAACATGTTCGGAGAAATTTCTTAGACGCTAGTGTGTATGCCAGGAACCTCTAATGAAAAGCCACGGGACAGAAGCATACATATTCTGCCGCAACAGAACCTGCAACGTGACATGAATCATGAAGCGCCAAACAACCACAAGAGCAGTGCTTTGGGTGTTGCAAAGCACTGCGTCTTCGTTGGAAGCTGGGCAGTCCGCAGGATAGTATGGCGTCGGGAGATGAGGCCATTAAGGCTGGGCACATGCCGCAAACGTTGTCCCTCTCTGGGCCACCTGGTGTCCTCTCTGACTTTCATGCAGAACTGCAACACTTCACATGAGACTTAAGTGCGGATCCATGCCATTCCATGCAGGCGATGGTTTCGGAGAAGAGCCAGCTCACGGCGCAGTTGAAGGCAGCAGAGGATGAGCTCGTGCGGGCCTCGTGGGCCTCGCAAGCCTCGGCTCTTTGAAGTTTGAGACCAGTGGAGCCCACAGATTGCAGAGCAGGCCATCCTGCGAGATGCAGTAAAGGAATGCAATGCGGCAATTGACAGCAAAGACAAGGACATCTTTAGCGATCTTTGGTGATGTTAACTTCATAATAAGAACATCCCCCCCCCCCCCCCGCCCCCCCCGAGGATGTGAGCCCCAGCCTCCGTAATTAAGGGTATCCGGGACAGTGAGCTGGAACTCCAGTCGTCGTAGCCATCAGTAGTACTGGCCAGTAGTAGAAGCATCCAGATTTTTTGCGTTTTGGCAGGTTGGATTTTGCAATTACGGGGGGGTTTGTAATTACGTTCTGGGATTTGGAAATTGCAATTACGCGGAGGTTTATTAATATTATGAGGTGAACATTGTGGCGGTGCTCGCACATTGGCAACGTCAAGTGCTCCAGGACATAATGCTCTTGAAGGAGGCTGTGATGCAGTCTGAAGAGAGCCTTAAGCTGCTCCAGGCTGGAATGAACAGCTTGTCTGTGAGAGTTGTTCTTTTGTGCCCTTGAAATTCCGCAGGCTGAAGGCGAAACCCTCAAGAGAAACCTCTCAGACTCTCAGGCCGCTAGACTGCTGAGCAGCTGCCTTGTGGCCTTGCTTGCCTTCCAGGAGGAGCTCGGACGACTCCAACGGAAACATGAGGCACGTTTGACCAGTCATAACCAGTCTAAAATTCCTTAACTCATTCTCACATGTTCTCATCACTGGCGTGCGGGGGATGGCTGAGTCCTGGCCATGGTAGGAGGATGTCGGAAGTGGCCCCGTTCCTTTCGAAGCTTGTGAAGTCAGTGGTGACAGAGCTACCTTTTCCCCTGCCTCGGGCAGTGACTGAGCCCGGGGACGTACTCAAAGCCCTCAGAGAAGCTGGGAGAGCGCCTTAGGCGTGGCCCTGGTTCCCCCAGGCCTGTACTCACTCACCCTTCTCACCGCTGGCAATATTCAGCCTTGGAATCGTGGAGCTCAGATGTTCGGAATCTCGTATAGGTCGTACTCGTTAATGGTATGTCATCCTGGGATGAGGTCTTCCGCTCTTGTTTGTGTTGATCGATGTGAAGTCCTTGGCCTAATGAAGGTTTTATTGAATATGCGACCGAAAGATACCTCGATGGTTCTAGATCATGGTTTCTGGTACTGATGACATCAAGATGGATGTTGTTGGCTGCTTGTCGACGGAAGGCCGTGTTCATGACACTGGTACAAACAGACGGGTCCTTCCCGTGACTAGTAAGGTCACACATCCGTTGCAGCATGTGTCAGATGGTCAGATGATAGATTCTGCTTTTCGAGTGGGGTTCTTCACATGTGATAAATCCGGCGTCGTACAAGAACTTTTTCTGCTTGGTAGATGGCCGAATCCTGCAGAAGATTTCCACATGTTTCTTGTTGCAAACTATCCACTAACAACTGTGAAGTCTAAGTTCATCAAGTTGTAACATAGCTAAACAACGATCAGCGCCTGCATGTTTCAGCCACTGGTAGGAGTTGCTGGACAAGTCTCAGCGGGATCAAGGCCGCTTGGAGGCTGACGTATGCATAGGTGCGCGTGCCAGCATGTGCAAGCGCTTTGGGGAGTCGTCAGGCAAACGCAACCGCAGAGCGACAGCGTTTGGAGGAAGAGCTGAAGGCTGCAAAGCTGCTCCGCAGCTCGACGAGTCAAAGCCCGTTTACCTGCGAGGCCTTGCGAGCGCAAGAGCTCACGCTCAAGACGGACCTCACATCCTGCAGGGCCTCCGAGGCCAACTGCTTGAGAGAGACGCTGGCAAATTTGCAGCAATGCGTGCTGGGTCCCAGGCCGAGCTGAATCTTGAGGTTGCAAGGCAGAAGGATGAGGCCTGGAGACCTTGCAATTTTCAATGAAGTTGGGGCCTGTGCATGGGCCAAGGTTTGCAAAGGGCAGAAGGTTGCAAAGGATCAGGCGGAGGAGCTTGAACGTCTTCAGAAGGCAGGCGTGTTGGCTGGGAGCGGCCACGTCTGAGCTTTTGCTGCGAAGGCCCTGGCTGAAGCTGAAGCTCGCAGAGAAGAGCTTGCGCGCCAGGGTGGATCCGAGGTTCATCGACTTCAGGCGTGGCGTCAGCTTCACGTGAGCTTGCACCAGAATCACGATCAAAATTGTCAGGTAGAGCTTCAAGAGCACAAGACTTTGCTAGCAGACTGGCAAAGCAGGTTTTCCCAGTGTGGGCCTTGCATGCTCTGGGATGGTGTGGTCGGGCCTCCATGCAGTGGGCCTTGATACTCGCTTGTAGACTGCTGCATGGCATTGATTTGTTCAAGTAGTGGGATTGCTTTCGTTCGTATACAAGCGGCGCTTCGTGGGTCAATTTCTTATGTGTGGTGCGGCTTTCTACAGCTTTGCCATGCCGAAGTTGTTGTGCTGTTTTGTGTTATTATCTAGGGATCTGTGATGTTGTTGCATCACGCCCTTCCTCTGAGGCGGGAATCCGATCTGCAAAATCAGCTCGATGAGGTGCAAAGTTCTGACCAAGAGCAAGCATGAGAATGTATGACAATGTGACAACATGTCCAGGCCAAGGCGGCTGCGAGTCAAGAGCTGGAGACTGCAAAAGCAACACACGCTGATGCAGTGCATGCACTGGAGAGGACCGTCCGCATGTTTCTCCTGTCAGCCCTTTGTGAATGCTGGCAATGCTGGCAAAGGCGTCCTGCCGTCGTAGGACTCATGAACGTGACCTCTTCGAGCTGCGGGAAGCTAGCGCTGTACGCTGCCCAACATGGAGGGTTCGGTTCAGTGGTTGACATGCGAGCTGATACTCTGGGCCCAGGCAGAGCTCGCTTCCTTGCGGGCGGAGCTCGAGGCAGAGGTTGGCTCTCGACATCTCTTAACCTTGACCTAGACTCCTAGACTTTCTATCGTTTTTTTAAAAACAGTCGCATTGTGTTTCAGATTCTTTGAGAGGCGGATCGTCTCCGGCGCCTGCAAAGTTCAGACGAGGATGGCCGACGCCTGTTAGAGGCCAGTTTTGACAAAGTGGCACAGCACAGGCTTTGAGAATCTTTGAGAGGCGAGAGAAGCGGAGTTGGCAGATCTTCAAAGCAAGTTGAAGGACTGAACGGCTCTGAGACACCACCAGAAAACCGCCTGTCTTTTGTGCAGGACGTGGAAGCAATGCTGGAAGAAGTTAGACAGAAAGCTGAGAGTGAGGTTCGAGCAGCTGCCGTTGCTGATATTGCTGAGGGCATCATTTCTGCAGAGCTCTGCCAGGAGAGGCGTCTCAAGGGCCTCCTGGAACAACAGGTGGCAACAGTCTCAGTGAGCAATCAGTCATTCTCAGACAAACAAGGTAGCTCTCTGATACACTTCCACGATCTTCCATAGCTGCCCTGTTGTGGGTAATCAGCTCCTGCTTTTGATTGCCAAGCATGTACTGTAATGCTAGGCATCAGCCAGTGGAGAGATTGAAGCCCTTCGAGGCATGCGTGTCGCATGGCCTTTGGTGAATCTGTCATCTACAGCCCTGTGGGCCGTAATTTGCGTAGGCGAAATCTCACAGAAGCAAGCTTCGCATGTGGCTGAAGTGGAACGTTTGCGAAAGCCTGAGACCAATGCTGCCATCTTGTCCGTAGGTGCCAGTGACAGAGCCAACAGATACAATGTGTGTCAGTAGTGATAAGTGCAGTGAGTCGTGCGTCGAGGCAGAGTGAAGCTCGCAAAGAAGCAGCCTTGTTGACAGAGAAGCAGCAAAAAGAGACCCAGAGCTTGAGAGAGGCCTGCAGTCATGTCCCAATGTCCAGTTGTCCACGTCTGTGCCGAATCATTTAGCCTTCCGGCTGCATGAATCCAGTTTAGTTGCCTGCTAGAATTCACAGCTTCTCGCAGATTGGGGACTTTCGCTGGGGTCACATTACAAGATGTTGAGGATACGCAAGTAGCATGGCGCCAGCAGGAAATGATGAAAGCCTTGGAAAGCCGTGGTCGGGAAGGCCTGGCTGAAGTCCATAGACTTCAGGGCGAGATCAGGCTGGACGGGGGCACACGGCGCATGCGAGGTTCACAAGGCTGAAGCAGTCCTTGCTCAGGCGGCTGGAAGAGACGCACGAAGCAGAAAGGAGGCCATGCTTTGAAGCAGCCATTGCCTGCAAGAACCCTCTGGTTGAGTGGAGCATGTTGCATATGTTGCCAGGACGCTGAAGCAGAGAATCCAGGAGCTTGAGGATGCCTTGCAGACAGCAGCACGCGACGCCGAGGTGTTTTATGAAGGGAGCTAAACTGCTTGAACTTTGCATACTTTTTGAAGCGGTTTTGAGCGCAGGCTGAGGCTCAACGAAGTCGATCTTCGTATCGCTTAGAGCTAGAGAAGGCTCGTCTGGCAGCTGAGCTTTGGCAGCTTCGACCTGAGCTTTTTCAGGTCAAGACAGAAGGCGTGGAGATGGTTCAGCGGTTAAATGTTGAGCACGAGGTTCCGCATTGATGCTCGTGCGTAGAATCTCATGAACCGAGATTGTCAGAGCTTACACCAGGCAAAGCTAGAAGACGTCTTCAAGGCACAGTCAGACGCCCTGGAGCAGCTGCAGCAGAAGCTGGGGAAGTCTCATCAGGTGCGCTCAAAATTGAAAGGACAGCATGAATTCCCTGTCTGACGCAGGAACGAGTGGATGAAATGCGGCAGAAGCACTCGCGAGAAGTTGAAAGTATGAAGGCCTGCGTGCAACTGCCATCCTGGAATCACCTGAAACATCGGTGTCCTGATGTGTCCCGGTACTTTACGTTTCAAAGTTCAAAGCACTGGTTGAGCGTCTGCGTCTGAGCCGTCAGCGCTTCCCCCAGACGACACATGCTGCCGAAGTCCGTGAAGCTGCCGCTGCTCACAATGCCGCCATGCAGGAGGCCCTCAGCTTCTGCCAGCTTCTGCCTGCGCATTTGCTCAATGCCTTGTATCTTTGCATGGGAGGTCCGTGCTGAGATGGCAAGAGCTGCGCAGGAAGCTGAAGCCTCCGCTAAGGCAGCAGCAGCCAGGTGCAGGGCCTTGCACACCGAAGAGCAGACCTGTGAAACCTTGTCGAAGAGCTCGCTGAATTTGCAATTGTGGGTGTTGATGCTGTTGCTGCCTCGCTGGTGCAAGGCATTCTGAAGCAATGCAGGGAATCAGTGAAGAGCTGGCTAAAGAGCGGGAACAGCTTGCAGCCAGCCATGCCCAGGTCCATTGACATGTAACTCCCGTGTAACTCCTGCGACCCCTCTCAGAGATGCTGCGGGAGGCTGCAAAGCTAAACGAAGACTTGCAGACCTCACGTGCAGCAATGAGCAAGCTGCAGGCAATGATGCCCACGGTGAGCTTGTGAAATCTTGTTCTGCTGTTGGGATGATTACCTTCAAGTCCTGGAGGATGAGTTCAGGGCTACCGTCGTCAAACACGAAGAAGCGATGAAGCACCAGCAGCAGGATCGACCTTAGCTAGGTTCAAGTGCGCTTAGGAGGGTTCCGAATCCACTGCTGGACCTCGTAAAGCCTACAAACATCTGAATAATCTTGCGTTTCGCCTATGAAATTAAGTATTCCGCATAAAACCACTGTGATATATGGAGGGTCCCTCCCAGAGTTCCGAGATAGATGATTGGAAGCCATGGTGCTCTGTGAGAGCGCACTCAGCACGTAATTGCAGTGTGAGGCCTGACCGTGGGAAGATTGCTGGTGGAGCAGTTACCTAGTAGGAAGCAGCCCTCATCATTTTATGTGGAACCTTACATTGCAGGAGTTCGATCGCGAAAAGCGCCACCTGAAAGAGCAACACAAGAGAGGACGGTGATGTGGTTTACTAACTTGGGGCCAAGTTGAGATGCCATTGCTTTGCCAACTCATGTTGGAGTTCAAACATTTGCCTCTCTTTGCGGGTGCCAGTAAAGGGATGTTGGACCTTCTCTGTTGAAGACGCCGCCCCTGTGTATTTTCGTTGCCCATTAAAGAGGATCAGGCAGAATCTTTCAAATCTATCCCTGGGTATTGTGCATATCCTCCTGTTAGGGGGACGGGGAGGGGGGAGGGTCCTTTCAGCAGCCACAGCATCTGCTGCAGCCGGCATCTTTTTGGCAAGTAGCTGCTCGCTGACACACCCAGTTTTGAGACACCCTTTTGGCAGAAATTGAGTTGGATCCCGTAATAGTTCACAAGCAAACGCGCGCAAGATGAGTGCAAAACCGCTTTTCACAAATTGCATTGGAAGCGTTGGCTTATGGCAGTAGAGTCGGCTAAGCTGGGATCTGCACAAGAAGTTTGCCATGCCAGCTCATCGTTCGAGCCGTTCTGGGGCTGTCAGTGGTACCGAAGATCACGATCTCGCAAGGTCCAGCCGATGGAGAGCGGAAGGCAAAGCTTTTACATGGAGCATGTGCAGAGCAGCTCTTCTGCCAACACATTGATGTTATGAAGCGGCTCGTTCCGCTTTCTCCTTTGCTTGAGACAAATCGCAGCTGATCACGCACCTAGCTTTGGTCTTTTTGTCGCGCACATTTCATATGCCATATGCCCGCCAACATCTTTTGAGGAAGCCAGCCCGACACAATGGCTTTGCATGAAGTCTGTGGGCTGTGCTGATTCAGATGGACGTGTGGTCATCTACTCCAAGTCTATCAGAGTTAATGAAACAGGCTTTCAAGCCTCCGCGCCTGACGCCAGCTTGCTTGCGAACATCCTGTGTCCTTTATACCGCCAAGGGAGTCTCAAAGCCGACTTTGCTTTCAGCATCGACCTGCAGAACTTGCTACTGCCATCTTGTGTTTTTTTGTAAGTACTGATGAATTTCGGCGCTAGGCATAAATCTACAAACACTTTCTTTTCCCGAATGCGCAGCAGAAGGGTTCTCGTTTTGAGGTTGGGGGTCAGGAGGTTGGGAGTTGACGCGAAATCCGTGCGGAGCGTTCGCAAGCGTCCGCAAGCGTCTGCAAGCGTTCGCAAGCGTCCGCAAGCGTCCGCAAGCGTCCGCAAGCGTCCGCAAGCGTCCGCAAGCGTCCGCAAGCGTTCGCAAGCGTTCGCCGTGCGTCCGCGGCCGAAAATCGTCCCGAAACGCAGAACTGTCGTCGCTTTTGCACTCGCGTTTGCGTCTTCGCGTCTCAAAAGTGTCAACAGTCTCAGGGATCGGGGAGGTCCTAATCGCGAAACGCAGAACTGTCGTCACTTTTGGACTCGCGTTTGTTATATTCCAGAACGCACAACCTTTGACAGTTTGTCAAGATGTCACCTTGCAACATATCTACACCAATACGTTTCCTGAACCACTTGATGGCAGCTTGAAGCTACGCACATCTTCGGCAACAGTGCAGGCTGCAAACGGCACATGGTTCATGTAATCTCCGTGCAAAAATGGCGGAACTTGTTGATGTTAATGTCAACGAGTGTTAAAATGGACTTAACGCGGAGTTCGGTCCTGGAAGCATATGCATGCATATGGCTTAGTGGCCCATCTAAACTCTTGAGCCCAACTCAAAAAGGGCCCGAGCAGAAGCGGGGCTATACAGGCATTGATGAGCTTCATCGTGAATTACAGCAACGTGAGACAAGCAGGATCAAGAGAGAAAGAGAGAGAGGTGATGCTCGATGTGGGTGATGTAATCCCTGGTCTCGCTGGTCCCGACTGCGTGACTGCGTGGACGCTTCAGGGCTCGGGGCTGCATCCCGGCTCCCCTGTAAGGGGGGAGCTTAGTCTGCAGAAGAAGAAGGTGATGCACGCGGGCGAAAGCGCAGTCATCTTCACAGCCCAGCGTAGTAGGACAAAGGCCTTTCAGGGAAGTGTGCGAGAGTTGCATGTATGATGTGGTTTGTACGCTCGCTAGCGGAGCTCTGGGAAGCACACTTCACTGAAAAGGGTGATGTCGATCCTCCTGGGTCCCGACCGCACGGACCGTGCAGTGCGCGGCTTGGGGGATCTCCAGGGGGTGCCGTAGGGTACCCTAGAGCCACTAGAATAATAACAATACACTTTTATTTTTTTCTGGAGTGTGTTACGCCCTGGGGGCCCATTTTCTCACGTAAAAGCATTTTTTTTTGATGATTCTTAGTCATTTTCATTCCGAAATCAGGTTCCTTACAAATTGGAATTACCCTACCGCGTAAGTCTTATGCTTTTATCAACTTACACATCCAAGAAGGTGATGTGCATGTAGAGATATGCGTGGCCGGTATCATGTATCTGCATATGTCTTCCCAAAGACGATCCATCAGAAGATGGCTTCTCAGTTAAATATATGATCGCCTTCCCCAGAACTGCCACATGCGTTGAGCCCTGCGCCAATGACCTTAATCTGTATTAAGTTCCTCTTTGCATCCTCTCATTAGAAATGAGATAAGAGTCCCTTTGATACTTTCCACCATGCACATTGGGATCCTACGAAAATTCTTACCATGTGGTGACCGTCTCCATCGCTTAAGAAGGAGACTCCCCTGCCATCCACATTCCTATTTCCCCACCCTCGCTGTGGGGTTG